TTCCAGTGGAGAAGGACAACTGTCCTCATCTTTCAAAACTTTATGAAATTAAAACATCTTTTATAATCATTTACTTTTTTAAGTAAAGATTTGTTGGTTAAAATGAGCATCACTGTATTTGACAGGAGTCGTTTTGTAGGTACACTGCATCCAAGAGAGTAAGAAAGATGCGTCCCTTTATCACTGTACCTCTATCAAGCTGATGGGTTTTTCTCTGAAGTAAAGCGAATACAGTTATTACTGCTTCTGCCCAGATCACGATTGGCAGATACCTGGCATCTCCCCATGCACCCAAGGCATATAATGATAATTGATAATGGCTTGTAAAATGCTGACACAGTTCTACACATAATAACACAGAAGAATGATCCTCCAACCAAGTCCCACAGACACAGCAGTAGAAGGACTCATTTACATGCATTTATTTGCATCAGAAAAAGCCTACAAGGATAAAGAGGAAACTGTTCAGGGGGATTATCTCTCAGGGACTGGGGTGATTTTATTTCTTTTGCTTCTTTACTTCCTTTTCCTATAATGATCATATAATACTTCAACACCGTGTAAAAATTCTAGACCGAAAGAAAGGTATGTGTGTTGCCAATCTTTGGATTTTACCCCAGGTTAAGAGGACGTGTTCCTGTAACCACATAAAACAATGTTCCAGTGGTTCCGAGATTTAGCCACGCTCCACTCCAACGTCACCCAAGAGACCCACCTTATCCTCTTCCCTACTCTGACCTTTCTTTACCCTAAAAGGGCACAGTCTGCCATCTCAAGCTATTCTTGTCTACGGTTATTCTGGTCCATGCGACCAGAAGGCAGGCAGAGGACAGTTTCAGAAATCCCGAGTAACGGCAGGTACACAATTTCCTAAATAGAGGAAGACCTGATGGGCACGCAGGGAACCGGGGGTGTCCTTGCTGCCCTGCAACTCCACTCTGGCCCCCCTGGGGACAACCCATGGCTGGTCAGCGGCGCTAACTGCCGGGGGTCCAGAAGGAGGCAAAGTTGGCCACTGTGCCATGAAGGGAGCTCAAGGGTCTCCCACAGACTCGCACAACCAGAATCTCTTCTTTGTGTTTCACAAATAGGAAACTCACAGAAGAGGGAAACGGCGACTTCACGGGGATTTCCACGAGGGAAACAGGTGCACGGCAGGCAGCATCCCATTTTCTTCACGGGCATTGCCAGCAACAGTGAGGAACCTTCTCCGGCATTCCCCATGCTTGCTCCCATCCCACCCCGCTCTCCCTTAAAAAGCTGCTCTCATGGAAGGCTACAGATGGATTTGCGAGGACAAGTGACGAAGCTATAGGGCTGGCTGCAGCTCGCCACTCCCCTGCACACATCTGTCTGCTCGCCACTCCCCTGCACACATCCATCAGCTCGCCACCCCCCTGCACACAACCCTCTGCAGAGTTCTCCCCAACCACTCAGCACCCTGTGTCATGGGAGTACACCTCGGGGAAATCCACAGCCATCCCACGCGAACCACCCAGTGTGGAGTCAGCCGCATCAGGCAGGCTCTGAGCGCTCAAGCCCTCCCAGCGATCGGGAGCCACTTACTTCTTTTGAAAACGAAATTTCACACAGAATGGTGGAGCATGGAGAAAAAGAAAAGTCATTCTGGTCAATATCAAAAGATCCCTGAACCGCCTGCTTCCAGAGAGAAAAAAAAATGAGTGAAGGGAAGAGAGAAAAAAGGAAGAGAACAAAGCTCCCACAAACACACCCAATCTGGGCCAGGCGGCCCAAGGGCTTCTGTTTTTAGGTCATGCCATGATGTTCCTGTAACTGGGGGTGTGTTTGCAGATAAGGGTCCAGAGGTTGAAGGCCGGGTGCGAGCTGGCTGCCTGTCTCCGTTCCCATACCACAGCAGAGGTGGTGGTGGCGGCGGCGGGGGTAAGGGGGTACTGACCGCTGGGGACCTGGCTGCTGCCCCCGCCTCCAGCCCTTCATGGCTCTGCAGAGGGACAAGCTGCGGTGGCAGTGGCGGATGCTGCTGGAGCCAGTTTCATTCTGAGACACACAGGCCTACCCGGGAAGAGCTAAAAATAGGAGGAAGCAGGCAGAGTTCCCCGCTGCAGGGTGAGAGCAGAGGGACAGGCTCAGGTCGTCTCCTCTCCGTGGACCCACCAGCAGCCACGGCACCAAAGCCCGGCACTACAGAGCCCTGAGGCCAAAGTGAGCTCAGGGATCACCACCTCAAGCCCTCATTCCTCAGGCTTGGCAGAGGATCCTAGAATTCACCTGCTTGGCGTCTTCACAGATCCACGGCACAGCCCAGAACCAGGGGCACCTGGGGGGCTCCATGGGTTAAGCGTCTGCCTTCGGCTCAGGTCATGATCTCGGGGTCCGGGGACCAAGCCCCACGTAGGGCTCCTTGCTCAGCAGGGAGCCTGCTTCTCCCTCTGCGTGCTGCTCCCCCTGCTTCTGCTCTCTCTCTTCTTCTCTCTCCCCACTCCATCAAATACATAAATAAAAAATGTTTTCCAAAAAAAAACAAAAAACAACAAAGCCCAGAACCAGAGTGAGCCCAACCCAGGGCGCCCCCAACCCTTATGTCTGCATCCACACACAACTCCCCCGCAAGGTGTCCGCCCTCGACTTCTTCTCTAGAGTTTATTTTGAATTTCAGATTCACAGTTAACAAGTTTGCAGACAGTTGGAACTGCCCATGCCCTGGAAAATGCTTAGCAGCAAATTAGAGAGAGTGGAAGAAATATACCACTCACAGGCACTCTTTACAACTACCAGGAAGTGACGGTTGACAGTTCCAGAAAAAAACCTACAGACGTCAGTCAAGAGAACTAACAGAATCCAGCGCCCAAAACCATCTATAGGAACAAACCCTGAGGACGTTAGTGGCGGTGACCTTGGCTGCAGGAGCATCCGTGTATGCGTGCTGGCGTGCTTCATGGACACCAGAAGAGGGTCAAGATGCGGGCAGCTTTGGCGTGAACACACACGCACGCATTCACACACATGTATGTAACTTTCATGTCCTGGTATTTTACAGGGCGATCCGCAAACTACTGGCAAAACTCAGCTAGCCAAATGACTCAATGCCAGAGGATTTCAGGGCATAGTAATTCTAAGACACTATTTTATTGTTGGTGTGGACAGCCACGGCAGTTAAAGGAATCTTAATCGGGAAGCCTGTTTCCAAACATAACTAACCTCCACCGAGACACCATCTCGGAACAGTATCGTGCAACGTGAACACAATCACGAGGGCTGCTCGTGGTTTCCCAGCACAGACTCACAGGCACGTCCAAGTTTCTCTGAGCTCCACGGGGTGTGGGGGGGGCCACATTGAGAGGAGAGCATGGGGACACACCGGGGGGACCAAGACCCGCCGGCAGAATTGTTTCAGTCCCCTCATGCCATTGGTATGGAAAGGGAAACATAACTCAAATATATGACCAGTTGTGATGCGAGTGCCAATTTAGCTAACCTGCGCATCCAGCATTATAAATGTTCTACCCATTTCTATGGTTTCATAATATTAGGATTATGGGTGATGGGTTAAATCTGAATTCATGCAGAAAATGAGGAAAAAACTTGCAGTGTAACAACTACAACTGCAATCTCTCTGGCAAGCAAATTCTTTTGAGCCTGATGTCCATGGGGAGAAGTTTTACTGGGGCTCCAGGGACAGAAGTGGATGGAGTGACCTCCTGAGGTCTGAGTTACACCCAAGCTATCACCCAAAAGAACCATGGAGTCAAAGTGGCATGCAAACATTCTGAAGCCAGAAACCAATACTGCATTAAATTCAAGCACAGCTCACAGGGATCCACACCCAATAGCAGAAAGGTTTATTCAGGGCGCCTGGGGGGCTCGGTCAGTTAAGCATCCCCCTTCGGCTCAGGTCATGATCCCAGGTCCTGGGATGGAGCCCATGTCAGGCTCTCTGCTTGGTGGAGAGTCTGCTTCTCTCTCTCCCCTGCATCTCCCCCAGCTTGTGCTCTCTCTGCCAAATGAAGAAATAAAATCTTTAAAAAATAATAAAAAAAAAAGAACCATTTATTCACCAGACTGGCTGGGCCCACGTCTACCTCCTAAGGTGCTCTGAGAGGTGACACCTGGGAATGTGAGGAGGGTGGCCAGTGACACTGAAAACAGAAAAAAGACAGCCTTGGAAAGTAAGCTGCCCTATAAGGAAGGGGCTAAGCTGGCAAGCTGCACCCGGCAAGAAGGCAACGGGCTGCCCTGAGTGTCTTTACGGAGGCTGTGTGGCTGACAGGCGTGTGGGACCCGTCTCTCTGCAGGAGTCCCCAACAGAGCAGATTCCCTGTCCCTGGAATGACTAGGGACACTATTTAAAAAGACTGAGGATTCAACTGCATGACTTCTGAGGAAGGCATCCCTCAAGCCTGAAAGATCTAAATAAAAGCAGCCAGTACCAGGCATAGGACTAGAGGAATTCTAAGACCACAATGCCAAAGGACTATCTGGACCTCGGAGTTTAAGGCCATCTATAGAACGGTAGGAAAACGATTTGTCGATCACGCTAATTCACACATTCACGGCAAAGACTGACCTAACACAACACGGCACTAGGAGCTGTGAAGAGAGAAGTGAAAAGGTGAGGAAAGATGCAGGAGAAAAGTACAGAAAAGACTGGGGGTGGGGGGGGGACTCCCGGCAGAATGATCCACTGTAAACAGCAGGAGAGATTAATAAGAGGGAGAAGAGAGGAATGAAGTTTAGCCAGGGAAGAGGTAGGAGAAGAGGTCAATCGAGAGCAAGCCGGACATCTGCGCTGCTCTTACACTGGCAAAGAGAAAGAGAGACATGGGTATTCCACACCGGGGATGAGACGTCAGCAAAGGCAGAAAACCGGGATTTCTGAAGAAGGGGTTAGTCTGGCAGCAACGGAGGGTCCACGAAAGCCCAGGGGACAATGGCCCTGACCCCCCGGTGAAGGTGCCCGGCCCAGGGAAGCACAGCACAAGCAGCCCGAGACGTAGCACACGTCGGAGGCTCTGCCTTACCTTTCCCGTAGAAGAACTTGCGGTAATAGTAGGCCCCGAGGTCGATGTGCTCTATGATGTAGCGCTTCACCTTCTCCCTGTGAACGGGCTGGCTTTCTCTGGGCACTTCTAGGACGGAGACGCCTGCGTTGGTGCAGTGGGAGCTCAGAGAGGACTCGAAGGAGCAGCCTTCCCCGGAACTGGACGACGACGAGCTGGCCCGGGAGAGGGCGATCCTCCTGTCGCCTTCCCCGCCGGTCTCGTTCCGGAAGTATGGGCAGCTCAGGACGAGCTCGTTGCTTTTCCCATCACCCTCATCAGCATCCAGGTTCTCCTTGGAGTTGAGGTCCTCCTTGCTCCCCAAAGGGGACTCACAGTTGCCTGTCTGGCCTGCTGGCATCTGCGTCTGGGATGCCGCCGAGGCTCCGGTGGTGATGTTTTTCCGCTTCCCCACGTTGGCTCTCGTCGCCATGGCTTCGTTGATATTGAACAAAATGCTCTGGACGTCGTAATGTGCAAAACACCGCTGACAATTCCAAGGGCGGACGCCCCGCTCCAGACGGCCATCTTCTGGATCGCACGTGAACTTGAAAGTTTCGTGTTCGCTTTTAACAGTCCGCAGCTTCCGGAAGAGGGACGTCTCCACCGATTCCGACTTCAACCTCCGTTTGAAAGGCTTGTCCCTGTCTCTGCCCATGAGAAGGGCACTGTCCATGTAGTCTAATCCTGAGATGCGGACAAATTCTCCTCTAGAAATCTGCGCTGCCGCGTGGAGGCTGGGAGAGATTGCAGGATCGCAGGGGAAAAACTCAGGGAACCCAAAAGGGGCCATTGCTTTGTGGTCGTAATTATCTACACGGTACCCTCTGAGCATTGCGAAGAAGTTCTCACCAGATAAGCCCTGCCGGTCAATGGAAGATGTGCTTCCGTACTCTCGGTGGAGGGCGGCCCCGGTGTTGGGGTTCACTGCGTTTTGGTCTAAGACGTCTTCAGCGTCGATGTCACTAATGGTGACATCGCTATTGCTTCTCTGTCTTATGGGGTGCAGTCCTCTTTGAGGAGAGTGAACAAAGATGTCTCCAATGGTGTACTTCGCCTCCACAAAGTCTAGATCGAGCTGCTCCTCTCGCTGACCATCGCTCTGGTCATTCTGCCCATTGTGCGTGATGGACGGGACGCTTTCGTAACTGGCCTGAGACCGGCTTTCCCACAGCGCCTTGCAGGCTAGCTCCTTGGAGCAGTCCTTCTTGGGAGGCCACTCGCACACTCTTGCTCTCACACCCATCTTGGGCACAGCTGGGGTACCGTTAGCAGGACCACCACTCTCTGTGGAATTTGAGGCATTTAAAGAAGTGGCGGGGCCCATGTTGCCATTAATGGCTTTAAATTTTCGAGCAAAATACTCATCAGACTGCATGATTCTGGGAGGATCCTTGAACTTCGAAGAGGCTCTGCCAAGCTTGTGCTTCTCTTCTTGCGACTGCCTGGGGTCACTCATGTCTGCTGAGCCAAGAAGCTCCAAGGCCCACCGGCAGGACTGAGGTGAATCTAATTACATTGCTATTTACAGTGCGATCCTAAATCCAGATGCACAAAGGCTTCCTCTATAGTTGTACGTTCTCTTTTCAACCAAAAGCAAACAACATCCTCAGCGTATGGTTTCTCCAAAACCAGCTTGCTTCTCAGTTGCTGAAATAAGTCTGTACACCTCCGTCCTTTTCAAGAGCATTTCTTAAAACATCTGTCCTTGAGTAGTTCCTTCACCTGAATTAAAAACACACAAAATAAACCGTTAACAATTTTTGTAGCTCAAGTTCAATACATCTTACCTACGGTTTCTCACCTGTCTTCTCCAACTTCTGCCCACCTCCCAACGCCCACCCCCCCCCCAAACTGTCATGACGTTTCATGTTTCTTGTTCATACTGCTCCTTCTCTCTGGAACATTCTGCTTTCTCGCTCTACTTGGCCGGCTAGAATTTACACCCGAGTCAACATTACCCTCTCCAAGAAACCTTTCCTTAGCCCACATCTAAGCAAAGAGTGCTTCTTTTGTGTTCCTACGGCACCCACGTCTACACTTATGCTGGCAGATCTCCTTATACTCTTACTGGCTGGTTTACTGACCAGTCTCCTCCACTAGCTAACTTCAAGTTCCTCTAAGCCAGGAACATAACATGCCTTTTATCTTTGTACTAACATTATCTATTAACATGGCCCGGCTTACATGAAATAAGCAACATTTCAATGAGTTACAGAGTAACACAATAGTCATATCATTTTTTTGATTATTATACTTTGATTATTATACTTTCTTTCAAAATATTTAAATTCAAAAGCTTGAGCAGCAAAAGGGTCAATACCAGGCATTAGCAAATGAGTTTCTAGAATGTGGTCTCTCAATCAAGTAAGAACTTGCAGAGATCCCTGTTAATGTGGGAAGGAGCCCTGAAGAATTTGGAATCTGAACAAGTGTAACTTTCTAGTTCATCACGCCACTAGCAATTTGACAAATGTGCAGGGTAAAATAAAAACATAATTTACCTTTGTGGTCAGTAGAAACTTGATGTTTAACTTTTTTCTTTAATTACAAATAACCTTTTCAATTTATTCTATCTTTAATTAGACAAAAATATTTTCCAAGTATGTCATATCTTTACAACTTATGGGAAACTGACCCCTTGTTGGCGTAAGAATGAATGAATGACTAATTCTTCTGTAAATAATGATGGTAATAAAGGTATAACATAGCCAATTTCCCTCTGCCCTTAGCAAAGCATAAAAGCAACTGTAATTCCGACGAGTTGTTGTTGTTGTTGTTGTTGTTGTTGTTGTTTTTGAGTAATCTCTGCAGCCAACATGGGGCTCAAACTCATGACCCCAAGATCGGGAATTGCCTGCTCCATGGACTGAGCCAGCCAGGCGCCCCTCCAATGGATTCTTAATGTCTTTTAGATGAACATGTAGTTGTTTCTCAGAATAACTGATATTTTCTTATCATGGCAGCTTGGTTCTCCCTTCCTGGGAAAAGTTCAGTCTGGGCATGATAAGATGCTGTCTGTTCCCAGAGCAACTTCATAACTGAGGAAATAGAATGATATTCTAGGATGTGGTAAACAAAGAAGGGAAGCACAGTCAGATGCTTCAACGTACCAGACCAGTGTCTGTGCGTGGTTCTTAGAGAGATGACTGGATCTTATCTATGTCACTTGGAATCATTGTGTTTAAAAGGACCACAGATGATTCTGAATTATAGTTATTTCCTCTACAATGTAGGCTATTATCGAATCCTTTCCTGGGAACCAAAGCTGACAACTGATATATGAAAGAAAACAATTTTAATTTATAAATTCTACTGATAATTCAGCTGCTTATGGAACACAACAAAATTTGAAAGCTTACAAATTAATTTTGATGGCTGTGTGTTCTCAGCAAGCATTAAGAGAACATTCGTTCTCAGATAGATACTACCAATTTGTAAGTATCCTGTTACAGAAGGAAGAACCACACCCACTGATACCATCAAACTGTGTATTTTCAAAAAATATAATCAGCAACTAAGTACTCACCACCTTAAGATATTAGAACAAAATGCCCCAAAGAAATTAGGAAAGAAGGAATGAATAAAGATAAAAGCTGAAATTAATGGAATAAGGGAAAAGCAGGGTAGAAGAAGGATGGACAAACCCAAAATGTAGTTTTTAAAAAAAAAAAAGCAAGGGGAAAGATCTACTCATTCCCACTCATGAAAAAGGAAAAGAGAGAAAGAATAATATTATACAAGTTTGGAAATGAGAAAGGAGACATGACCATAAATATAGGAGATTAAAGTAAACATTAAGTATAAAAGAATTTATACTACAAGCAACTGTACAGCAACAAATTTGAAAACACAAAGGAAACGAATGATTTCCTACCAAGTCACAAATTCCCAAAACTGATCCAAGAATGGAAAAAAAAAATTTTTTTAAGAATGGAAAATTTAGACTGATGATCACTGAAGACAGCAGAAACAGAATGAATCCCTACATAAAAATATGGCCAATGTATAGATGAAATGCAATGAGCCATCTTAACCATGACTTTGAAAGTCCTTTATCCTCCATGGCCACACCTGGCCCAACCCCACCCCACTTCAAGCTGAGCAAACCAGTACCTTCCCACTGGGTAAGGCACTCACCACACCACACCCCACCCCGGGGGCAGCTCTGGGGTTAAGCCACCTGTCAGGAGATGTGTACGATGGGAAACCTTCAAGCCAGATTACCGAGGACAACACATGCACTGAGCAATTTCTTCTGGAAAAACCAACGATAACATTATCAGCACTCTATTTGAGAATCAATCTTCTGAGCATTCACATCCCTTACATCTCCAACATGATCATTGTTTGTAACAGACGGTATTAAAAATACAAAATCTTTACTCCACAGATCATCCATAGAAATGGAAGACTTGTCCAAAAAAAGTTATTATTTTTAAACATAAGTAATAGAAACAATCAAAAACAGATGAATCTGTGCTGAATTTTATTATCACGGTTGACAAAAAGCACAGAAACAAGGGCAAACTCACAGCACACAAAACCCTTCCCCCAAAGAAATCAGAATATTTCTTCGATTATGATTTTTAAGTTTGTGGTGTGTGATAACATTAGCTGTAGCAGGCGGCGACTGATTTTTCCTGTCTAGGATCTGACCGCCTTCTTCTCCTGAATGCCTTTGAAGAATCTTACCTCTAAAAGATTTTAATTCATGTGGGACTAACTCCACCCCCTAACACGTGACCCAGGTTTGACCAACGAAAGTGCAGCATCTCCCAGCTACAGTGATTGGTCCAGGGATGAACACAAGAACCAGCCAGGCCAATGACAACCCTGCCAGGAAGCCCCCCACCCCCACGCCCAGCCCCAGCCCTGTGCTCTGATTCTCCCCAGTGCTCAGGGGGTAGAACAGAGAAGTGGAGCTTGAGAGCTCCCCTTGCCCACGTGGCTAAGAGTGGGAACAGAAGCATGGAGGCTGAGCCTCAGGAGGAAAAGAAGCAATCCCAAAGTCAGAGCTCATGACTCCAGCTGGACCTGAAACCCGCACTACCCCTGGGATTTTTCAATTGCTTGAGCCAATTAATTACCCTTTTTGGTTTATTCAGTGGACTTCTGTATAGTGTAGATCAATTTTAATATTTTTTTAAAGATTTATTTATTAGACAGACAGAGACCACAAGCAGGCAGAGAGGCAGGCAGAGAGAGAGGGGGGAAAGCAGGCTCCCTGATGAGCGGAGAGCCCAATGCGGGGCTCGATCCCAGGACTCTGGGATCATGACCTGAGCCAAACCCAGAGGCTTAACTCACTGAGCCACCCAGGTGCCCCCAATTTTAAATGTTCTAAGAGACCACATGTACCTTCAGTTAAAGACCAAAGAGGGTAAATTCAATGACCAAACTACTTTGTACTATGTTGCAGACCACCTGGTCCATGAATAAATGAACTGAAATGATAGTTCTGGCACTTGAATCCAATATCAAAACCAGAGCTTCTTGGGCAAGGTCCCTGCTCAAATACTGTAACTACACACTCTTAACACATTTCATGTGTGCTGCTAACGATTCAAAGTACTCAAAGCTAAAAAATTCTTGACAATGGTAGCTAGATTAATAAAGTTGCAAACAGACCCCCTCCTGCCAGTTATCCTCTAACCAATATTTTCCAGCTGCCATACCTCCCCAAAGTCAATCTCCCTATTGGCAGAATATATGGCACCTCCCTTTTAAAAGCACTACTAAATATTTCTAAATACAAAGTATTATAGAGAGCACCTTCCTTTTAAAAATATTCCTAAATACATTAAATAGGACAGTAGAAAAAAAAAAACTCGAAACAATTACAGCCCTTGTTTTCAAATAAGATAAATTAGAAATATTAAGATCATGCAATTTAAAAAAATAATAGAGCTCACACGGAAGAATTGAAATCAGTGTCTTTGAAGGCAGATAGTCAGAAGGAATGGCATAGGTAAACACAGAGGAATGCAGAAAGCAAAACCGTGGAGGAATGAAAACTAAAGCACGAGCTGCAATGACCTGTGAAATAATCCAGAACCTGGGGGTGAGGCTTTGGATGAGAGGGAGACAGAGATGTGCACATGCGCACCCACTGCTACCTCAGTGAACCACGTCTGCCCTGCAGAGGTGCCGATGGAGAGCTGCTGATCTAGGGCAACATGCCTGCATTACAGGCACCTGGCACGTGTGCATCTCTCATATCTTTACTTTTCTCACAAATCCTAACTTTCTACCTTTGTCTATTACTATGCAGCAATCAGAAGAGAAGGGTTTTTTGGTTCTTGTTGTTTCGTTTTATTTTCTTAGAGAGAGTTGGGGGGGGTTTCGGGCAGTGCAGAAGGAGAGGGAGAGAGACTCTCAGGCAGGCTCCATGCTGTGTGCAGAGCCCGATGCGGGGCTCGATCTCATGATCCTGAGATCATGACCTGAGTTGAAATCAAGAGTCGGACGCTTAACCGACTGAGCCACCGGGGCGCCCCCCACCTGCAAAGTTTCTGCAAGACTGTAATTTGCACTCTTAGTTGCATGTACCTGATTGTAATGAAGGTATAATCTAGGAAGCATTTTGCAGACATCTGTCTCCAAATTTCTTCTTTCTACTGACCAGGTATTTATACGTGCTCTGGGCTCAAGTCTCCTATGGATCTGAAGTGCAGGGTGCACGCCTCGCAGCCCAGCTGGTGTTGCTGGATACCAGACTGACA